CTGTATTGGAGAGAAAAGAAGTAGCACATTGATCTGCCAATCGCGGGTCTTTCATGCCAAGAACTCTGCTCATATTTTAAAAGTTAACGACCAAACGGATGTTTATAAAAGTTTACATTGCTGTTGCAGATGAAATATAACACAGATAACATTAAATAAATATTTTTTACCACGTTATATGTTGAATATTAGTAACTCAAACCCCTTTTTCTAAGCCTCTCTACCTAACCGCCGGTCGCGTACATCCGCCATGTTTGTAGTTTTTAACGCGTTTTATTCGTGCTTGTAGTTCTGGACAGAATCCTTCACCAAAGCGCAATGGATTGTGGGCAATATTAGCCATTAGAGTGTGCATGGATCCACACTTCAAAAATCGACCTGACTTGGCATACTCTTTTCAACATACTAGCTTTGGGACACACTTATTCTAATCTCACATTTAGGATGGATAGTATGAACATTGAGACGCAGGGCGATATTCCGGCCCGGAACGCACATTTTCAAAGGAGAATAACTGACTATAGCATTGTTTTTCAGATAAACAAGTATGTTAACTTAGCATTCTTAAATATCTGCAAACATATTATGATATTTTTATGCTTTAGTAGAGTCAAAAACGTACATACAACACCTTTAAGCATTGCTTTATTTCAATATTTGAGCGTGTATTTTGCCCGCCTGAATGATAGTATTTATATGAACGTCATCACGTGATGGCGTAACTGAATCAGTTTTTCGAAGCAGTTCATTAAAATGAACTGTGCAAAAAGGAACCATTTCGCGGAAAAGGATCGAACTTGACAGCACTAATTATAATGCCTGCGTCCCAATGTGCATACTATCCATCCTAAATTCTATGTGATATTAGTAATTTTCAATACTATTTAGGGCAGATAGGGTGGATAGTATGCACATTGGGACGCAGGGAATGAATCATTCTTTGGAAATCTCTTCAGTGAATCGATCAAACGGCTCGGCAACCGGTTTGAATCGTTTTCGCGATTCAGGGTGATTCAACTCGGACGGTTCACTCAATCTTTTTGAAGCGGTTTCTCAGTCGGCAAACGTGATAGGGAACTTCAAGAAGTATAAAAACGCATATTGAACTTATATACAATCTGCTTGAAAGCAAACCTGGAAGTTCGTCTTTTTGTTTTTCCAGCGATGAAGATTCATTATGACCAACACGCGCACGTGCGTCCCGAGAACCCCTCTACTGCAGGTAGGCTATAATAATGATACATTTATAATGTTTGTTTACATTCTGCATTTAGATAGGGCATGTTGACACTCGAATTGTTGTCATAAGATTATATGATTTAAATATTCTATATAGTCAACACACCGTGACACCGCCTCCATTTTAAACATTGTTGGCTGTCTCGCCGTTTTACCTCCTTTTTTATTTTGAGGATGAGTGTTAAATGTTAATGCTTTGTAAAGTTAACCATTTCTATCTAGACCAGCGGTTGTGATGATAGAGATCCCAGATATATGACAGGGACAAAATAAGTATTGAAATTATTTACTGACCGTGACAATTTTCTCCACCCTTTATTAATGTTAGATGTATCGGCCTAAACTTGCAGAGAAACGTTTCAGTTCTGTTCATGTGCATATAGTAGTGCTTTTGGCAATTAATATTGTTCTAAAGCAGTTTTACAAATCCCAGTGTGCATGACAAGACTTTCTCCAACAAGTCGTCTTATAAATGTGAAATTATTGCATTAAATATATAATTAACATGGTAACACACAAACTTTGAAAGCCCTAAAAATACATTTAGCAAATTCTTTTTCTCTCTCTGGAGGCCTGTGGGGCCCCAGTTTGAAAACCCCTTGTTCAGACAACCGGCGACTAGTCGAATTTTTAAATATGAAGTTTTGCAGATCCCTAATTTCAATAACCTGACACTTAATCAATTTCCTATTACAGTCTCTTTCTAGTTTTCTTTTCATACACCCACTCTCTTCCTGAGTATTTTCAGTGGTTTTTCCACTCATTTTTTGGCATCTTTCCTCTCACGGAGGCAACTTGACAATACAGCCTGTGCCAAGAACAAGAGAGTGAGAAAGAGAGCGGGACTCCAGCAGCATTCATCTGTGATAATTAAAAGTCATAAATCTGTGATGGTTTTTGTCTATAGGCCTTTAGACCTGATGTTCTTCAAAGAAACATGGAGACAGACCTCAAACACAGATGACACAGACACTTCACTATTGATTCTAAAGGCTCTTTGAAGTCTAAAAGATGCGGTCCCATAATGGAAGAAGGAAGTATATTTTTAATGTCTCGTCCCTCCCTCTCTCGCTTTAGGGGGGGAATTCTCTAAGTTTCAGTCATGGAGAGGGAGGGAAGGGATGAAGCGAGGGAGAGAGCTGAAAGACAGGGCCTCATTGTTTACATGAGGGCACCAGGGTTGAACTGACGTGTGCATTCATCTTTAATGTTCACGCTTAAAATATGAAACTGCGAGGACTGTGTTGACAGACACACACCTACCTTCTCACTCGCTTTCTTTCTTTTGTTCTCTTTTGCTTCACACTTGCATTGCCGTGCTGCCAGGTTGGACTGAGGGATTACAGGCGTCTGCTGGTTGGAAGAAGTGGAAAGACATGATAAATAGAGAAAGGAAAAGAGTGACAGAAACAGACCTGAAATAACAATATAAATAACTGAAGTGCCTCCCTATGTCATTTCCTCTCAAGAATCTGAAACTTTTCTACAGTAAATGCTAATTTATCAATATAAACACATTTCCGAGCAGGTACTGTATAAAATAATAATTTCTCTTGAGGTCTCTTGTGTGTAAGAGATTCCATAAGACAGTATTGTTCAGTCATACATGAATAAGTGTCAGTGAAAGGACATTTCAACTGTTAGAGCACCATAAAAAATGAAATGCATTTATAATACCAAAAAAAGAAAGAAAAAAAGATGGGCATGGGCATCTGAAAAGAGAAAAACACACAAATGAACATTTTTTGCTGTTAGTTTCTAGTAGGCTTTGCTTGCAGTGTACTAGGGCTGCACGATTGACAAAAATCATAATTGTTGATTATTCCCTTGAAATTGTAATTGCGATTTATTAATTACGATTATCACAATTTACACTGAATGATGTTTATACCATTGTTTGATGCAACTGCATGCCGTATTTTTATATGAAAATAAACAAGCTGAAAACACTTAACTGAAAAACCTTTCTATAGTTTCTATAGTATTAAGCCTCAAATGTCAAATATACATCGGATTGGTTTCTTCTTTAAATTGTAAAAATATGAATGGTATTATAATGTGAAACTAAAACAATGGAAAAACCCTTAAGATAACATGTAGAAAGAAAAAAAAACATATATTAAGCGTGCAGAATAACATAAATTGACTTTTAACGATTAATTGCCGCTTTGAACAATTACGTAATTGTGGCATTGTAATCGCGATTAGAAATTCGATTAATTGTGCAGCCCTACAGTGTACATTATAATTGCATGGAAAAGAGTGACCAATAAGTAATGTTAATAGATTTTTAAAATTATTTATTTCTTTAGTCACAGCTTTTTTTTTGCTGTGAGTAGCATTTTGTGTCTGAAGTTCGTTTTTACTAAAGTTCTAGTAAAAAATATTGTATTTATAGTATTATAGTAATTGTATTTTTTTTTAAATTTTGTTTGTTAAATTTCTGCGTTGTTTGTTTTGTAAATCTGTCCCAGTGTGATGCAGGTTTTGCAAAGAGGCTGTTACTGAAGGGTCAGGCAGTTAAAAACTATACTGGACTTGATTGAAAACCTCTAAATGTGAGTGTACAGTAGCAAAGCACTGTATTTCTTTTTGCTTGTTATTATGGCGATTATGTATACAAGTCTTAAAGGGAAATCCACCCCAAGATAAAAATTTTATTATTGTTATACTCACCCTCATAGCGTTCCAAAACTGAATGACTTGCTTTCTTCTGAGGAACACTAAAGTATTTTGAAGGACGTTGGGAACCAACCAACATTGGAGACCACTGACTTCCAATGTACGGACCAAAAAATATGTTCTTTTTTTCTGCAGAGTCATACAGTTTTGTACCCCAGTGAGGGTAAGTAAATGATGACTGAATTTTCTTTTTTTGGGTTTGGAATGATATGAGAGTGAGTTTTTGTTTTTGGCTGAACTATTTTTTTTAAAGACAATGGTATGTTTAATAGTTAGAATCAGACAATGGGTATAAAAAGCTACACTCTGAATAATAATAAATATTTTTACTGTAAACTTGAGTAACATTTAAAGTGCACCTCAGAGAAAGAAAAAAATAAAATATATATGATTTGATAATATTAGTTTATTCCACCAGCTTTAGGCTGTTTGTGGTTGACTGTCCTTGTAGCAACTTGACATTCATTTAGAACATGCAGTGACAAGTGTGCATTTATCTGCATTTTACAACAGCTTTACATATCAGAATTTAGTGCCAAAATTCTCAGTTTTATAATGAGCATTCTGACATAGGCCTCATACAGTAATTAACCCCCCGTAGCACCCGAACAAAGCCCTGTTAATGCCCCTGGGCCAACAGAGGGTGTGCAGCATGTGTGTCTGACAGAATGGGGTGATAATGATGTTGGGGAAAGAGCTGCTGTATCTGTCTGCTGTGCTGCTGTCTGTTAAAAAGTGAATCTCTCCAGAGTTCCTTAAAGTGTCAGTATATAGATGGTTTTCTAAAGAACCATAACACTTTCTTTAAAGGCATCAGAATATGACGTTTTATTGTTAAGATGTATTATCCATTGGATTTGAGCATATGTGCTTCATTAATTTAAGGGGGTCTGAATACTTTCCGTACCCACTGTACATACAGATACTCTGCAGCAAAATGTGTTTTGCTCTTTGTCCATGGGCTTTTCTTTAAAATCATCAAATGTGTTTAGCACATTAAAGTGCCTCTTAAAAGTAGTAAGAAAGGAAAAGGATATTAATTTGTGTGCTAGTCACTGCATTACTGTAATTAAGAATGTTGTGAAAGCTGACATTAACAGTGCCACTTAAAATAAGCAGTTACAAGCAGCCCTAGCATTGAAGCCTTAAAATAAGATTTAACAGGAAGTGTATTTGCAAACATGCGATCAAATGATAATTTAGTTATTATAAAACATGTTCCCTATCTGCCATATTTCTCTATATTTAATTGAACTGATCAATTTAATTGACAGTTGACACATTTCTACATTTCACATGATTTAATTAAATGTGAGAAATTTATTCATTTTGAGCAATTTTTGTGATAGTTTTGAAATTGTATAAAAGTTGTCATTGTCAGCACAAACAAACTGGAAAAAATACTCTGAACTGATACGAAGAACTGTCATCTTTTTAATTTATCCGTCAATTTTAGAATTAAACAATTAATATTTATTGAACTAATAAGTTTCTTAAATTTGCACACTGGATGCGTAAAGGTGATTTCACTCAAAAAAAAACAAAAAACAAATATATAAATAAGTTATACACCTCGGCTTTACCTGGTGAGCTGTTTTGTTGTTGTGAAGATCTTTCAAACATTTACCAAAAATTTAAATTAAGTGATATTATGAATGACACTGATTTTATTCTGTGTATTATATAATTGTGTATTACATAGTAGTTAATTGAACTATTTATTTGTTTTCAGCATTTTGATTTTTAAATTAAATTAAATGGATCGTCAATGTATTTTTGGTCAAAATGGTTTCAATGATTAGAAAAATCATATAAAATAGTTAAATACAGTTTTTGTATAAAGCTTACAAGTCAAGATTGAAAACAATATTTATAATATTCGCTTTGATGCTTTTCTGGTTTAAGAGTGAAATATATTGAGTAATATTTTCATTATGTACAGTGATTTTTTATTTATTTATGTGTATGCTAGTGTGGAATAATGTCTGTTGTATTTTTATTAGTCTGCTTTGGCTATTTTTTATTGGTCTGCTTTGTAGCTGTGATTAATGGATTTATCTGGTGGACTGGTTGACAGATTTTTCGCTCTTTGTCAGGGTGTTATTACTTGTCAGGGTGTTGTTAACTGTCCCTGTGAACCGAGACTTGAATTAGTCAGCTTATGGGGAATTCATAATGACTCATGAGGTGTATTTGAGTGAAAGTAATTACAAACAAACACTAAGAGCTCATATAACAACCACAGCAGTCCGGACGTCTGTGACGACAGGTGTCAACCTCAGGTCTGTGCGCGCTTGTACA